CTTAATAGAGTTTTGAAATTCTATTGGCTCGAACCATGATCGAGTTTGGCGATCCCAGTTACCAAATTCTAAATTTTAAAAGTATTACTCATTGTAAAAACAAACTAAATAAAGATAGAGATTGCTATGCTTATTCCAACCAAAGGATTTCCATTCTGGAATTATTTAGAGTAAGTTTTCATACATACTTCTTTTTCATAAAATCTGAAAAATTCCTCCTAAAATCTTAAAAATCCCTAATAAATCTCAATTTTATGTTAAAGGTAAAATTTGGAGGGAAATTTCATGCATGATTTTTTTCTCAACAAATCCTTAAAAGTCATAACAAATTCCCCTCTCAAATAATTTAAATAACTCATGACTTTTGAGACTGATTAGAATTTAAAATTAATAACTCGAAACTTTTAAAAGTTTTAAAAAGTCTAAGTTAGAGGTAGTATTTGTTTGGGATTTTGTGTAAGATGGTTTATATAATTTTATCTTTATCTAAGGTCTTAAAAATTGAAATCAAATCTATGTGCCAAATAAATTGAATATGTCATTACTTTTTAAGATATTTTAAAATCTTAAATGAATATCTCGTGATTTGTTAAACTTTTTAAAATTTCAAGGGAATACACGAGAATTCCTAAAATCTCAATACACTTCCCTAAATACATCGATATTTTTAAAAGTTTAAAGTTCTTACAAATTACAAACGAATACACCGTTAGTTTACACAAGGCACAACAGAAGTGATTAAGAGCATTTGCATTCTTATCTATTCATTCAAATTTCAAACACTATTTACATTATATTTTATCCACATCATGTTCACGTCATTATTACATTAAACATCTCATCATTTAAACACATATTCATATTTGTCAATACATTTAATTGCCATATATATTGAAAAAGGACATCAAATGTATATTTAATCTCAACAGAATGGTTCCGTAATGGGACTGTAGCATTTTACTCAATGTTATTTAATCCTTTAGATGGCAACCATGAGATCCACAGTTTTTTTCATTTGAATGCACTGCATGCATACACTAGTGTAATGGTACCACGACAACGTCGACAAGATCGTACAAGCGCAGAACACTAACTATTTGGGCCATATTCATTTGCATGTTATTGATTTGGTCCGATCTATGTTACCCATAGTCCATCATTATGTATATTTTTTATTTTGGCAAATATGTGATATGCTAGTATGCTACTATTAGTGATTTATATTTCTATATACTGTAAAATGTATGATCAAAACTTTAGAAAGCTATTGAAATTATAAACATGAATTATCGATCTTTTCCTAGTATCCACATCATGGCTGATTTTATAGTTCAGTCAATCAAATTCAATTGATGTCACTTTTTTTTTTGGTACAATGAACCTTCCGGTTTCCGAATCCCCTAGGGGACCGACTAATCCGGAATTGATGTCACTTTAACGAACATTATATATCACTTGCCAAAATAAAACTCCATGTTAATTACTTGTAAATAATAACAGTGTAAATACAATTGAGTTTATTATAAATAGATGAGAAAGAAAAAACAAACAGATATTTAATGCAAATAGACAAAGTGGGCAAAGAAAAAAATAAAAAGATATGTGTATTTAATGCAAGCAAAATTTGAAAAGGAAAAAGGAAAAAAAGATGAATTTTTTATGGAATTTTGACAGAAAGTTCTATAGACTTTTTATATGACCGTGTATTCTGTAGTTAATAAAATTCTACGACACTTCACTGCTGTTAAAGTAGCAGCTTTCTTCATTTTCCCTCTATTATTAAATTATTAATTTATTATTCAATTCTCCATGTGTTTATTTCTTGTCGAGCAAAACGCGTTAAAATGGTAGTATTTCAGTTGGTTAGCGAGCACTTTCAAATAAAAATTTTTTTTCAATGTTGATTTAGAGCATATATGATGGTTACAAAACATATTTTATCAACACATATTTTTAAATTAAATGTCATATTGAAAAATAATATAAACAAAATATAATATTTCATAATATAATTACTTATACATTTTTTTAGAAGCAAAATGGTTCCATCCGCATAAGTCATAACAACTCTACATGATAAGTGAAATCTTTAGTTAACAAGTCACTTGAGAAGGACCAAAAAAATATTTCTTTTTTTTTTGTCAATTTATCTCATTCAAAGACGAAAAAATCTCAAAAATAAATTATTCCTTTCATCTATTGTTATATATTTTTACAAAAAATATTCACCCCTCATATATTTCTAACTACTGTATGATTCTATCAGTCACTATATATTAATTTTTATTATTTTTAGGTCTCACAAATTTTACTCATTACAAATTTCTTTTATTGCATATTCATTCATAATTTTTAATTATCTCAATTTTTTTATAAACATATTTTCCATTTATTTTCCCAACTTTCACAAATATTTTCGGGGAAAAAAAAATGTCAATTGCAATGTGACTAGTGTTCAATGGAACAAATGTCTGTGCGTAGCATTTTTAATTTTCCATTAATTGTTGTTTGACCTTCTACAGGTGGAGTTTTTAATGCTACGTGTTTGTATCAGTGTATGTATGTTTGTTTGTAATTCATTTTCTTTCCGCGTAGCCTGCCAGCTGTGCTCCCTCGGGTCCCACACTACGTGGCGCATTTTCGTTTGACGCTCTTTTAATAATAATAAATAAATAAATAAAATAACTCACCCAAAAAACACATAAAACACTTATTTGGAAATAAAAAAAACACTTCAAATTCTGAAGCTTCACACACCCGGACAATCATGGCGGAAAGTGAATAGAGCCAGCCGCCTGTATAAATTATATAAATTAATTATTGAGGCTACTTTTCCTTTTTTCTTTTCATTTCCCCCTTTCTGTTTGCTATTTTGAAGGCGAATTTTGAATCAGAAGAGGAAAAAAAAACAAAAAAAACAGAGAATTGATGGCGAAGAGCGGCGTGGTTGAAGGGGACGAAGCCATGGCGACGAAAGCCGCGGAGCTGAAGAAGGAGCTGCAGAAATTAGCGAGGCTGATCGCGGACGATGAGGATTCCAGTCCGGCGGCGATCGATCGAGCTCAGAAGGTTCTGCTTGCTCTCAAGGAATTAAAGTTGAAGAAATCCGTTCGTAGTGATTGTGGTGGGATTGTCGGTGTGCCGGCGCCGGAGGAGTTTAAGTGCCCGCTTTCGAAGGAGCTAATGAGGGATCCAGTGATAATTGCGTCCGGTCAGGTGCTTTGTTTATTCTATTAATCTTAATCGTTTTATTTTTTATTTTTTTTTAATTTTTTTTGTGCCGTGTGATTGTTTGGGGGATTGCTCTTTTGCTGTGAAATAGTTGAATTTGTGATTTTGTCTTTCTTAACCTAAAACTCATTTTTAAACTCATTTTATTTTAATTGTCACATTAACAATAAGTCTTTCTCCAATCTCATTTCGAAATATACTTTTTTCACACTATTTTTTCAAATTTTTAATGTTGTCCACCTATTTAACAAATTTATAAATTAGAATCTACTCCTATTTTGTTTGATGGAATTCGTATGTAATAAAATTAATTATTAATAATAGTGTACAAAATCAAAATAAATATTTAAAAATAAATGAATTACTCTATTTGAGAAAAAAATGCATTAATTTAACATATATTCGTGCAAATAAAAATTAAATAGTTTTTACAATTCAATATAAAAGCCTTACTTTTTTATAGATATATTATATTATTTTAAAATGTTTACATAAATAATTTAAAAATATAATAAATATATTTTCATGGTTATTGAATTAAATTTATTAACATGTTGTTTGGAATTTTTACCATCCTTTTTATAACATTCTATTTTTACAGATAAATTGTTTGAAAATATTTACATAAAATAATTTATAATATCTTATAATTTTTTCATGATTATTGGATTGAATTTGTATACATAATACATATTTTTTTTTTTAGTTACATGGCTAATTTTTTTATCTCATGTGTGTATATATATATATATATGTGTGTGTGTGTGTGTGTATTTTGTTAATTTCATATGATATTTATAGTTATTATTTTTAGCTTGTTAATATTATTTATTATTCCAAATTTAGAAAATAATAAAAGATAAGAATATTTTTTAAAATAATAAATAATACATTAGATCCCAAAACATATCAAATATATGGAGTTGATCTAAATTGAGTGTGCAAATTAAGAAAAATTTCAGGGTGTTGTTGAAATGTGTATGTGTATGGAGAATTTTGAATTGCTTCCCATTTTTAAACATATCAAATATATGGAGTTGGTCTAAATTGAATGTGCAAATTAGGAAAAATTTGTTGGAATGTGTATGTATATGGAGAATTTTGAATTGCTTCCCATTTTTATTATGAATTAGTTGATCTTCATCTGGTCTTTTGTTGCATTTTTTTACTGTGTTTTTGTGTTTGAGGACTAAATTAACAGCTCTACAAATTAGAAACATCATGAATTTTGTGAATGGTTGCATTTAATATCCTACAAAAAATTTTGTGAATGGTTGTATTTAATATCCTACAAAATTATCAACAGACCTTTGATCGCCTCTTCATCCAGAAATGGTTAAGCTCAGGAAACAGAACATGCCCCAAAACCCAGCAAGTCCTTTCCCACACCATCCTCACACCCAACCACTTAATCCGAGACTTAGTTTCCCAATGGTGCGAAAATCACGGCTTCAAACTGCCTGACTCGTTTTCCTCTATAGACGACGAAGCCCCAACCGAAGCCGACAAAACCCATTTCCTCTCCCTACTCGAAAAAATATCCTCTCCGTCCCCACCCAACCGTAAGGAGGCCGCTAAAGAGCTTCGCCTATTAACCAAGAAATCGCCTCCTTTCCGAGCCCTCTTTGGTGAGTCCCCCGACTCCATACCCAAACTTCTATCACCGCTCCTCGGGCCCAACACACGGGCCGCGGGCCCAACACTTCGTGAGGACGTGGTCACGACCCTTTTGAACCTCTCAATCCACGACAACAACAAGAAGCTCGTGGCAGAAAATCCCGACGCTGTGCCCCTCCTTGTCGAGTCCTTGAAACCTGGTAACACGATAGAGACAAGGGCAAATTCGTCCGCGGCCCTTTTCACCCTCTCGGCCCTCGACCCGAACAAGGTCTTGATCGGCCGGTCGGGCGCGTTCGAGCCCTTGATCGAGCTTCTTGACGAGGGCCACCCGTTGGCCGTGCACGATGTTGCCTCCGCTATCTTCAATTTGTGTATCGTTCATGAGAACAAGTCGAGGGCGGTTAAATGTGGCGCGGTTCGCGTGATTATGAGGAAAATTATGGACGGAGTGCATGTGGATGAGTTATTGTCGATTGTTGCCATGTTGTCGACGAGCCAAAGGGCGATTGAGGAAATTGTCGAGCTCGGTGGGGTTTCTTGCTTGCTCGGGATTATTCGGGAGAGCTCGTGCGCGCGCAATAAGGAGAATTGTGTTGCGATTTTGTACGCTATTTGTTGTGGTGATCGATCTCAGTTGAGAGAGATTAGGGAGGAGGAGAAAAGGCGTGGCACAATATCTTGGCTTGCTCAAAACGGGACCTCACGGGCCCGGAGGAAGGCGAGTGGGATTCTCGAGAGGATGAATAGGGCTTTCGACGTTACTCATACGGCGTGAAAGAAAGTCGGAGGCAACTCTTTGTCGACGTATTTGTATATTCTTCTTCTTCTCCGCCGCTTGTTTTCATGAACATGTGTTAGGTGTGTTTGATAGTTTGTAATCTTCTGTGCAGTAAGTAATGGCTTATTGTAGATTTTGAAGTTGTGTTTATAGGAAGATTGAATGTTCTTTTTTTGGCCTCTTCTGTTCTGGTACATGATAGAAAGGTAAAATGTGTAGGAATTGCTAAGCTTGTCTCATCCATAAAATGAAGTTTGTCTTATACAGAGTACTCTGTATCTGTATATGCTAAGTTCTCAAGTGACTTTTTTCAATCTTACTTCAAAATTTTGGATTGTCAATTTTGTGATTTACTCTCAAGAGACACAAAAACAGTTGCAGAGCACAGATATGAGAGGATGCAAACATAATTGAACACATATGTCACTCACACTTATTGTACTTCATAATTTTTTTTTCCCTATATATTTATTTTATGTTCTCTATCACAAAGTTAGAATTTTGTCAGGGATGGTGATGCCAAAAACTAATTGGTTGTAATTAATAATTGAATGAAATGAATTGGTGGACGAACGAATGGGAAGAGAATTTGGTCATGTTTGATGTGTAGTCTATGCTTTTATGGTCCACCTAAAATGCTAAAATAAATAATCCCCAAAATTTGGACAATAATAAAGCCCCACTTTTGGTTGACGTATGCCAATTTTAGTTACCATTTTTTAATCAAGTGAAATGGGTTTCTACATATTTTCGACACTCAAATCTTTAACACAATGTTTGGTTCGGGGGAAAGTGAGGGGAGGGGAAGGGAGGGGAGAGAATTTTATAATTTTTCCTTTTTTGGTTCAATTTTTTGTGGGGGGAGGGATTGATATTTTCCCTTCAAATCTATCCTACAAGGGAAAATCTCCTCCCCTCCAAAAGTAGGGGAATTTGGAAGGGAGGAAAAATTTATCACATACAATTACTATATTATCTTTCATATCTAAATTATTTTATTATTTTGTTTTTTACATCATTAAGGATATAATTGTCATTTCTACAATATTTTTTTTCTCCTCCTTATTCTAACCAAACAAGGTTTACCATTTTCCCTCCACTCCCCTCCTACAAAATCCCTCCAAACAAAGTAAAATTATTTTACATCACCTCCTCTCCCCTCCCCTTCCTTCCATTAAAATTCCTCCCCTCCCCTCCCCTAAGTGGGTCAATTCTTTAGAGTTTTTTTCTAAAAAATTAAAAATATGTATTTAGTTTATAAAATTTTGAAATTTTTATTTATGTCATTTTATAAAATATGTCGTTTTAATTTAAATTATGATATTTATTAAAAAATATATCTCTCTAAACTAGCAGCCAAACATGTTTAGAGTTGATACGTATAACAGATGCAACATATTTTTTCAAACAAATTTTTGTAATTTCACAATAAAACGTTACACATAAAAAAAAACGCACAATAGCTATCTAAATATCGTGAAAACTGAAAAATAAAACATATATTTAAAGTTTACAATTTCACTCAAGTGACGGACGGTCCAATCATATATATTTAAGTATGGTCTTGTCTGATGATCCTTCGAACAAAAATATTTACATTTTGGATATTAACGGATTGCTGTTAAATTAGTACTGGATCAAATGTATTTAGAAGTTTTATAATTTATAAAATAATGTTTTGGATAGATATAATTTATAAAATAATACAATATAAGGTTTTAAAATAACTACAAATTACTAACTGCTATTTAACAAACACTTACATAAGAATTGTTCCTAAAATCAACTAGTTAATCAATTATTACAGTCTATTATCAATCATCCGTGATACAATTTGTTATTTGCTTTCCTAGCTTTAGGCAGAAGCCTTTGTCTTGGAATGTTGATAAGTTTCAACATCATTTTCCTTTGAGTACGTTATGTGCATTAGAGTTAGACCCTTTAAAAATCAATAATAATATTCACTATTTTTGTACTTGCTCATGTGATTGGTACTCTAATGACCAACTTTTGTTACTTTGTTGATGGAATCAAAGAATTTAAAGAAAAAACTTCACTAGTCCTTCTCAAGAAAATTAAAAATAATTAAAAAATAAAGTATTAGTTGATCTTTCAAATTCTCATCACCGACTGAACTTTGTTGGTGTGTAATTCTTTTCAATAGACCAATAGACTAAAAGACTTTTTGTTACCTCAAACAGGGGAAGCACAAAGTGGAAAAGGTTGAAATTAGCTAAACTGTTAGGTAGATAACGTGTTTGTATTTTTCTTGTGATGAATGAACATTATCAGTTTCTCCCATTACCAATTATTGAGTTTTGTTTTATATGAAAATTGTAATATTCAAGTAACTTTTAGGTTCAAATACAAATTAAATAATATAAATAAATAAAGTGAGATCATTATTACGACCGGATCTTGCTTCATAATTGGAATAATAACAATAATAATAATAATTACTAGCAAAGCAATTGATAAAAACATTTGATTTCCCTCAAAAATACTTTACAATTAATAATAATATTATTTATCTATCTATCTATCTATCTAGTATTGCTATTAAGCCAACAGTTGGCTCCATAGTGGAAACTGACCGTTACTTTTGTTTTAGACTTTTAGTTAATTGCAATAATATTTTTTTTAACATGTATATCACATAATATTTACTACTAATATTAACTTATTACAAATTCACATTAAAAAATTATGCAAATTATACACGTATAAAAGAAATTATAGCAAATTTTTTTCTTCAATTTTTTTTTTCTAATTTTAAAATTAGTATCATCATTTTATTTTTATCTCATGAAGCTGTCTAATAGCTAATTAGTTTAGTGAAATAACAAACTCTTTAAAACTATATAAATAATAATAATAAATTTTCAACCAACTAATTGGTTTGGAACTTTGGATCCATTAATTATGTAAGTAAATTATTAATTATATATTATTTATGTCATATAATATTTTATTTGTATTTGTACATGTAGAAAGTGTATTTGTGCATGTAGAAAGTCTTGACTATCAGTAATAATAAATCTCACTCATTATAAATAAGTGTTATTCTAGGTATAATTTTTTACTTATAGTTATTTATCATTCTAAACAATTGTTTTCAATTATAATTATTTATCATTTTAAAAAATTGTTTTCAATTATATAATGTATGAAACCTTAAATTATGCAAAATAAATAATTAAAAATATAAGAGAGAGAAAATAGTTAAATTAGCGAAAGAAAGAATAACTATTTAGAAGATATACAAAAAATAAGGTTTACCGAGATTCAGAGAAATAATAGAGTAATATTAGGTAAGACAAAAATCAAAATATGAAATTTTCATGTATATATAGACCATTGTTGTGATTGGATATAAATTTTTTCTCTTCTACAAAAATAAGACAAGATATTACAAGAAAAAGTGATAAATTTAAGATTATAAATGAATATAAAATAAAACATATATATATATATAATAATTAAAGCTAATGTGACATAAAATAATAAATATTAATTAATAAAATTGATAGTTAGAAATATATACTAAATATTATATTTTCTGTAGAAAAACATACTACAATAATAAATTTTTATTTTTCAAGAGTGCCAGTGGAATTTGTGGAAAACATATAATATATTAATTTTATTTTTCAATTGTGTTAGTGGGATTTTTAAGAAAGTTTAAGAAATGGATAGCATATTTGAGGAATTTTATTGTTTCATTTTTTAAATAATTATTGGCTGAACAAATAAAAACGATAAAATTTTCTGCAGCCAATAGCAACCTAATAATTACACACTGTACAAATTCAAAAGGGAACCATCTAACACCTGTAGTTCCAACAATCATGAGATTTCGGACTAGAATGCTCGACCCATCCGAAAACAACTATCGATTATCGATAATGTTGTGGAGGGACACAAATTAAATAAAGGAGTTTTCAAAGCCAAAGAAGCCATACCAATGTCAATCCATCCTATAAGCCCACCCATGTTCATCCAGATACCCTCTAACAGCTTCTTTTAAGGCCAAATTTGGTACAAGCTGAGATGGATATAAAGTTTCCCGAGTTATAGGGTCGAATTTTCCCACCTGAGATTTAAGAAACAATTTTGAAGTCAAATTACCCATAGATCTTAACAATAGCATAAAACGAGAAAAGCAAGTTTGCACACTTTTACCTTTTGCAAGTGCTCTAGGATCACAGCTCGTTCGTATGAGAGCCCACTAGGAGTAATTACCGGGTCGCGAAAAATGTCTAAAGTGATCTTACAGCACAGATAGTCTGGCACCTGAAACCCTTGTTGTTAAATAGGAGGAAAAAAAATAACGCAATAGAAATCAAGCAAGGAAAAGCCAAACTGCATTTTCAATCATGTTGGTTTAACGCCATAGCATTTTTAGTCTCATGATTCTAACATTTCGCCTTTTGATTCTGTGATTTAATATTTTGCTACAATTTCAGCCCTTTGAGGATTGAAATTCCAACAAATTTCCAAATTTATAGTGTTTTTATAGCAATTTAAGTCCTATAATTTAAAATTTTGTTGCAATATCAATCCTGTTATTTAAAATTTTGTTGCAATTTCAGTCCTCAAATGACTGAAATTGCAATAAAATATTAAATCATAGGACCAAAAGGCAAAAAGTTAGAAGCTTGAGACTTAAATTGCTATGCCGTTAAACCAACATGACTAAAAATGCAGTTTAGCCCAAGGAAAATCACAAGAATGTCCAATGTATCTTTCAGATTTATTGAGGGTGCCATTTTGTGAGAGAAATAAATGTTATAGGGGTAATAAATAAACTACACCTCATTTAAAAATCCTAATAATACTTGGGAAGCTGAAGCTCACTCACCTCTGTTGGAGTGTCGTTTTCTGCGGCTTTGTTAAATACTCGGTCTAAAGCTTCCAATTGATTTTGATACAACTTTTCATGTTCATCTACAAAACCTTCTGTTTGAGAACCATCGAGGAAATGTTTCTCCTTCAGAGCTGCCTCGCATGCTTGTCTGTAATATACATATATGTCACAGCTATTGAGAAATCGGCAGGTTTGTGTAAAAACGAATTCATAAAAATTGAAATAATTAAAATAACATATAAAGAAACAAGAAAAAAAGAATGTAAACAAGGGTTACTTTAAGCTTTGAAGCTCCCACGAACGCTGGATTGATTCATGTTCCCATTCTAAATATTTGGCTCGTGCAAGCTCTTGCCACATCTCTTCTACCATGTACCCTTTTGGATTTGCTCCCCTCCCAAGATCCAATGCCTATGACAAAATTACATCACATTTTAAGTATACGATCATCCTCAAACAAATTGTAGGCTTTTTCCAATTTTTTTTTTTTTTTTTTTTTTCNTTTTTTTTTTTTTTTTTTTTTCTCTCCTATTCTTTTCCTTTTCCATTTAAGTGTAGTTTAATAATAGAGTTCTCCCAAATCAGGAAATAAAACCTCATATACCTTTTCCAATTCTTTGACACCTTCTGCGTACTCTTTCTTTTGCAAAAGTGCGAGCCCAAGCATATAGTGAGCCTGGGAAGATTATGCACTTTTAGTTCAGTAAAAAATTTATTAGTCAACTGTAGTTTCTTTCTTCAGCAAATAAAAATGAGTACATAGTATAGTTTTCAATCACTGGCTTAAGTTCAAAAAAATGCCACAGTTAACAAATGCCACAAAAAGGGAGAGAGTTAATTATAACAGATTGTTTGAAAGAGCAGCTGCCCAAATTCATTTAACATTATTAATAATGCTAACATGTATAAGAATTAGCAAAAACTAATGCACGAGCAAAAGGATGAATCACAAGTAATTACATGTTTGAGAATTTGAAAGGAAGTATAGATTTAGACCCTAGTTTTAGATACCACAACACATCTCCCAGTGGTTATTCTTTATAATTTCTTTTTTGAAGCAACAAACCTGATATTATAATATCTGAGTCCAATAAATGTAATCTAGCAACAAACCTGATATTATAATATCTGAGTCCAATAAATGTAATCTAACAGCATGCTTGATAACATATCAATGTCTCCATTGCAAATAGAAAATATAATCTGTACATTAACAAAACAACAATGTAGATCTATAATCCATCAATAGATCAGTTATGTTACCAATAGAAAAATGCTCCATTAGAGAAAAAAAATACCATTACTTACTACAACCTCCATCTACTGTTGATTTAAATCATTAAATGAAATGCCGTTATAATTTATACATAGCTCCGATTTCAAAATTGGCAGGAAATCTATAATCATTAGCATTTTTATGCATTAAGTATGTTACCACAAACTTCCCTCTGCCTAAATACAGTATCAACAGAATATCTGTATCAAATATGACCAATACATTTGAAAGCTAACACACATACAGACAACAGCAATGTTTAATTAAGTAAATATCTAGTTTGAAACAGCTAAGCCAACCCTCATTCATTAAAAATATTCTAGTTATAAATTATGAGTTGCAGAATTGGTCAGTCCAGTACTCCAGCATTTGCTATATATTACTGGCGTTCCACTGGAGCTAAAGTATGTTATAAGTTTACATAAGACTAATTCCCAAAAACTCGGGCTCACTCCTCTTTCATTCAGAAACCCAAAACTGAAATTTAACTCATCCAACATTTCAAACATAAACTTCTTGAACTTTTTTAAGTTTGCAATGCCTCAGTTTCGGAAAATCTTACAGATAAGAATTTCCCAGACCAGTAACAATAAATTTCAACGATTTATATGTTGCGATGGTTAATGACATTATTTAATCTTAAAGGTCAAAGATATTAACCACCATCAGATATCTAAATTGAGGTTGACACTCAAATTTATACTGTGATAGTGTGATTTCAATTTATTTTCACTTATTCTCAAATTACAGTAATTACAAGATGCAAAATTTCAAGTAAGGTGATTAGTCGTTTATATCATCCAAACTGAAAAACTCAGATTTGACAACACGTTGACATAACTCAAACTAACAATTACACAAAGATATGTCACTCTCTAAAAGGATCCACCGACTCACAGATAAGAAGAGGCATATGCCCCGAAGAGACGCAGAGGATATGGTCCCCTTCCAGAAGCATCTCACAGGAGGTTAACAGAATAGCATCAGATAAAATAACCATACTACATCTTACTCGTTTCAGGTTTCAGCCAAACAGCCCAAAAGCAAGTACCCTCAAAGAGAATCTCCTAACTGTGGCATATGCTAGGACTAATCAAACTTGATGAAAAAGCAAATCTCTCGTGATACAAATGGAAACTAGAGCAAGGAGCGCCACTTAACCGTAAACCATCGGTATTCTTTCAAATACACCTGTTTGGCACATGTTTCTGACTCGTATTGTGCTTCACTCTTTTGTGTATATATATCAAGATAAAATGAGAAGGAAATCACACTACAGTCCAAGAACCATTATGTGGTAGAAAACAGAAACTATAAAACCAGGTGTTACCAAAAACAGAATATCGGGATCTTTATTATAATGACATTCAATAGACCACACCTTTAGAGAATGGTGATCAAGCTGAATCGCCCTCCTGCAATCCTCCTCCACTCTTGCCCATTCACTATAAACCAAAAAAAAAACGCACAAAACCCAAATTAGGGCGAAACCCTCGACGAGCAAATGAAATAAAAAAAATATAAAATCTCCAAAACCACAACAATCAAGACATCACAGCGACTATAAAGAAATCGTACATACTTCCGTTTCCGATGGCACAGAGCCCGATTCGTCCAATATATCGGGACATTAGGGCATAGCGTGATAGCCTGACGGGGAGACGAAAAAAAAAATCAGAACTTTTCAGCAAAGAGTTTCAAAACGGTCCATCACATAACCCATCGCCGGCCGAGGGCGAAAACCCACCTCAGTGTAAGCATCAATGGCGGCCCCAAATCGATCCTTCTTGAAGTACGCGTTTCCGTCTTGCCGGAGTTGTTCGGCCTGCTTCGCCGCCGCTATTGGCGACATTTTCCTCTTCTTCCCCCTCCCTATTCTGTCTCTCCCCCTTCTCTTCTCACTCTGTATCTATAGAATCTGTTCACACAGTCGAGCTATAAAACCTGAAAATGGAACACGCCCACCAAAGTTTGCAGATGTAAAAGACGTAGAACTGAGATATCTTGGCGATGGATTTCGGAAATCGAGGGAAAATGCGAAAGAAACGCGAAAACGAAATGAAAATGAAATTGAAATTCTTTGCTGGATAAAGATTTTTCGGGATTGTACTATTGCCAGGGCGCCCAATGAAAGGAAGGTACTTTTATATTGCCTTTGTGTATAGGAAAAATGTTTTGACCACATTATTTATTATTAATTAGGAAATTATATTTTATTTTTATAATTCCGATAGGGTTTGAGTAATCAAATTAATTTTTTTTTTTTTTTGAATTAGTTAGTTTGGTTCAGACAATCTTCTCCACAGGTTCTAGAATTAAGTTAATTTGCAACCCAATCATATAATTTTTAGTTATATCATAGCATTTTTCATTAGTCTAGGAAATGGAGTGGAATCGTTTTGACCATAAGAATCTCCTTCGATTCTCATTCGTACAATTGGTTTCATTTAATTTGCTTATTTATGTATGTTGTTGATTTTTATAATGGATAGGACATTTTGTGTCAACATGTTTGTTTGTTGTGGAATTAGTTGTATATTTCATAACAATGCTTACGCTTAACACTTCGTTTCGATTGAATTAATAGTTTGGCTAGTTAGTTGGATTAATTGATTATGCAATGTATTGGAGTAATAATAATTAGTTGTTTAATATATAAAATCAACTTATTTCTCAATTTTATGTTCATTTATTTTGAGATATTTTTAACTAAAATGAAAATTTATATTTCTTTCCAACAGTTAAATTAAATTAAACTTTGTTATCTTCATCATTGTCAAAGTTGAACTTACATTTAACAAATAAGTGAAATATATCGTACAAAGATCTATGCATAACTAGAAAAAAATAGTGCATTTATTTGAAGTGCTACAAGGAAAATCTTAAAATTTTATTACTATAGGCCTCTCATGTGGACAACATTCAAATTTCCACCCACTGATTTTGGGGTAAAAAAGGGACTTAGACAAGTTCAAGGGGTGGTTTCTACAATTACCACAAAGAGAGGGGTGAGTGTGCAATAATTAGCAATAGTAACTACAGAAGCAGCAAAAAAGTGGTAGTCCAACAAAACCAAAACTAATAAGCTATAGCTCCACATTTATCATTGATACAACACATTTTCAAATTTCCATTCAAAACCTGGAATTTTATCCCATCAACCTCATAAAAATTTACATATTGTACAAAAAAAAAAAAAATACAAACAGAAATCGAATAATCTAACTAATTCTCGACAAGACTCGATGATTGAGTACCTTTGCTATCTTGATAGTGATCGACAAACACCAAGCTTTCACGAATCCGATTAACAAGCTGTGAGGCCTCTTGATCTAGCTTCAAAGGGCCTCTTCGTAAAGACTGCTGATTTTTTTCCGCTCGTTTATTAATTTTGATCAGCTTTTATTTATATTTATCGGACAAGGAAATGAAAAAAAATGGAATGTACCTCAGAAGTCCATAAGCAATCGTGTGCTTTACGCGGGATTATGTGGATGTGGGTCTGTAAACGGGCCATGCAATATAAAAGTACCAGAAGATGTCAATTCATTGCAGAGAAAGTTAAAAAGGTAAAATGAAGGGGTCGAAACATAATTTGAGAACTTTACATGATATATGACTTGACCTGCAGCTGCACCGTTGTTGACTAGCAAGTTGAATGAATCTGCAAATAACGACCCGAGATATGTTTCCACGTTAAGGGTAATTTGGTAAAGTAGAAGGCTTTATGTTGTGTAGTTAGTTTTTCTGATCATTAGACACTATTCAAGATCAATGATGACTGTATCATGAATCAGATTAAGTTTCAATTTCGATAGATTTTCTGGTTATGTGATATGGCCAAGGTTCGAAATCACATGCTCAAATAAACTCTACTCGAGAGCCAAAACTAAAATTCAGAAATATTGGGATTCCCAGCTATCAACAGGAAAATAAGGGTCAACAAAAGAAAGAACTCAAAAAAATAAAAAAATGACCGAATAAGAAATTATTGAAATGAAATATTTTATTCATAACAGCAAGAATAAAGTACACCTTTATTTATAACCTTACCACAGCCAGTAGCTTTCATGACTGCATTGCTAATTAAAGGCACTTTCGAACACATAGCCCCAATAATCTGCATCATTTTGCATCAGCGTGAGAAATAAAATGGTATTTCGGCAATCTTCAGCATGCAAAAGTTATGCCATTATGTTCCATGTATATGGTTCATTATCAATAAAGTGCAATATTCATTGTTCTTCATTAAAAAGATCAGCTTTCAGCTCGATAAAGAAGAAACTAAGTTGTTGGTGCGGATTTTATACCCTGCTGAACTACCTCAGTTAGAACAAAAGAAATAAATTAAATTTGCTGACTTCTGTTTTTTAAGATAGAAAGGAAAAAGAACTATTCCTGCTTCTGAATGTGAAAGAAAAACAATTTATGAAGGATTGGACAATCGAGCTAGATGATAGAATTGAGTAGGGGAACAACTTACTGATGGAGGAGTTGCATCCAGTGAAGGGAAATGACACTTTGGAATAATGAGAGAATGCCTACAAAGAAATTGAATGGATTAGTGGTCTAGGTAGTGTATAACTCCACAAAAATTAGAGAGAATGAAAAAAAAAAAAAAGCATGAGAAAATATCTTCAGCCATGTTTCCATCTCAATTATTTCGAGACATTTTTTACGTAAACTGAAGTTTCAGTACACGCGTGTAATAATTTAAGACTGGATAAAAGCATAATGTGTTTCAAGAGATGATACCTTACCCATGGCATAAAGGATAAGTATCCAAAATGCACAGGCACTCATCATCTTCATATAACTGTAACAAAAAACAACTTAACTCCAAACATCAAACACCATAAGCATCTATGGATAACACTAATACAAAATTTAAGAAAAAGGAGTGGCAAACATCATAAAACATAAAAATTGCTAAATATTGAACTAACAGTCGGGCGTTTATTCATAATCTAGAGAGTCTGCTTCCATTCTTTG